CTATGAACACAGCTATGTTAAGCATTGGGGTTACCCAGATAAGCAAGACAAGATACCTCCCCTTGAAGGGCCTCCCAGTCCAGTGTAGAATTCAGGCCAGAATTAATGACAACCAGAGGCAGGGAGCGGGCAGAGGGCAGGGATGCCTTCAGGAAGAATTGCTACAGCTGCACACTAAGTGATGGGAGGAGCAGAGGCACCCTGAAAAGTCTACCTATCAGTCCCACTCTGGGGGTGCCCACAGCTCCTCTGGTTCCCAGCTTTTCCCAGGTCTGGCTCATCAGCGTTTCCTTTCCTTCCGTGAGCTGCCTTGTTGCATTCCAATTAATTCCCCTCTGCTCCAACAAGCCAGAGTCGGTCTTCCGTTGCTTGCATGAAAGGAAGCCTGCACATTGCTGGTGGGGCTCCCTCTCTTGCAAGCAGTCAGACAGGGGAAGGGGAGGCAGGGGAGCCAGCTCATCTCTGCAGAGACTAGGGTACCCTGAGAGAAAAATAAACAGGGTAGGGAGGGCGGGAGGCTCACAACCAGCATGGCACAGTGGTGAGGCCCTGGCTTGTGCATTGGAAGCTGTCTGCTTGTGCAGGCGATACGCCTTGGTACAAAACATACTCTTACTGCAAAACCAAGTCATAAAACAAGCGTAACACATTAACCGAAATGCATTCCTCTCCGTTGTCTAGCGCCTCTTGCCAATATCCCCAAATGGTGCTCTGCAGACACTCCGCCCCAGCGCGCGGACAGGAGGCAGTGGCGCCATGCCCTCGGGTGGTTAAGGAGGGCCCAAATATGAATTAGAACATAGGGAGAGGTGGAGCAAGGCAAAGGCCAACTTTTTCTGCCAAACAATTTTTTTTTCTGCTACCTGATTTCATTAAAGTAAAACAAACAAAACAAGCAAACAGAAACGACAGTGAAGATTTTTCTGAAGTGACCTCCTGGGAGGAATGGCTCCAAGAAGTGACCTATTGAGTCCTTCTCTCCTCCCCTTCTGATCCCATCATCAGGAGAAGACTGTAGGCCAGGAATCAGCAAACTTACTCTGTAAAGGGCTAAACAGTACACATTTCAGCTTTGCGGGCCGGACGGCAGTCTCTGCACAGCTAGGTAGTATAATCTGCCGTTACGGCGTAAAAGCCATAGACGACGCGTGGATGAGTGGACACAGATGTGCTCCCATAAAACCTCACTGCACACACAGGCTGTGGGCCACAGGGTGCCAGCCCCCTTTGTGGCGTCTGCTCCAGGCCAAGGCTGAGCCACGCGATACGTCACCTGTCATGGCGTGAGGGACGCTGGTGACCAGGACCCTCTGGTTCTGCATCCGGACCCCCGTCTCTGGGTTCTGCATGTCCTTCACGAGCGCTTCAATCTGCAAGACAGAGCAGGAAAAGCTGGCTGACCGGAACCATCTCAGAAGCTGAGTGAGGCCCTTTCCACCGAGCGGCGAGGGGTCCAAAGGCGCAAAGGTGGGCGCAGGGGTCCCGGCCTGGGAGGAGCCCGAGGGGCCTAGACTCGCCACGGTGCAACCAGAACCGAACGTGCCCGTGGACACGGACACCCTCCCTGTGTCGGGGGCTCCGGGAGATTCCTTCTCGCTGGGAGATTTGGGGAGGCTTGTAAGAGAAGATAGACCTTAACAAAAAAGGATTGTGCTGGACAGAAAGTGAGAGAACAACGCAACAAAGGCATGGGAGGGACAGAAAACAGGGAGTTGAAGCTGGAACAGTAGGTGGGTGCCAGAGTACAATGGGCCCCGAAAGCCATTCCTGGAGGGTGGAGTTTCGGGTGGCTATTCCTGGAGAGGCGTTTGGAGGTAGGAAAAACAGTGGGGTGACCCATTCACAGTTATTGCGACATCCCAGGAAGAGAAGACAGGGCTTCTCCCTCCGTGGTATTCTCAGCAGAGTAGCCAGAAGTGGCTTTCCATTATTTTAGAATATTAATATATCACTCCCCTGCTTGGCCATTTCACTCAGAGTAACTGACAAAGTACCCCTACTTTGGTTGGGGTCTCCTTCCCCTCTGACTTTTCTCCTACCACTTCCCACTGGCCCCCTCTGATCCAGCCACACTGGCCTCCTTGCTGCCCCCAACAGTGGCAAGCGTGCTCCCAGCCTGCCGCAGGGCCTTTGCTCTGGCTGTTCCCTCTGCTTGGACCCGTCTCCCAAGAGATCTCCATGGCTCATCTCCTCCTAACAGTCTCGGGAGCACCCCTACAATCATCCTGCTTAAAGCTGCAACCTGAAGTCCACCCTTGGCACTCCTGACCCCCTGCTCACTTTTCTAGAGCACTCACCTTCTAGCATACAAAATAGTTCCCTTATTTATTAAATAGTTTATTGTGTATCTCCCCTTGCTCCTACAAAGTAAGCTCTTCAAGGGCGGGTCTTTTGTCTGTAGTTCACTGTTGTATGCCCAGGGCCTAGGAAAGAGCCTGGCACGTAGGTGGAAATCAATAAACAGCTGATGCATGAATTACTAAATAAACGAAGACAGTGGCGAGGAAGATGGCAAGAAGGTGTGGCCTTCAGAGCCATAGAAGAGCAAAATTTAACTGAACTTGCAAGCGACCAGGTAGTTGAGTGAGGGTGGCACAGAACAATGCCGAAGTTTGTAACTTCTATGAGCAGAGTTGCCAGTCGCCAAAGTAGAAAATACAAGACAAGGAGCACCTTCGCAAAGCCTTCTGCTTTGGAATGTTGGCTGCAAAGGGCTGCTGAGGTTGTCACAGTGTCGGCAGGTGACCAGAAATGACTGCCCCACATTCAGAAGAGATAAGGGTCAGAAACATGAATCAGAGAGTCAGGATCAATGAACCGTCTGAGGAAGACTGAGCCGCAGGACGATAGCCACAGGACAGCCCTGATTGCATGTACAGTTGTTTTTATTTGTATTATTAAAAAAAGAATTTTCCACCTGGAAAAAAATTAAATCGAAATAAAAGCAACCGAAGGATATTTTAAAACCAACTGGATGTTTGACACTATTCAAAAGATAACCCAGGTGTTTCTCTCATCATTTGGTGTTTGCCATTGACGTTGACAAGGCCTCACGTGCAGAGGTTTCCAACCTCACGTTCCCCATGAAAGGCCCTACTAGTGGGGAGACCATCCACGCCTTCTGCCCCAGAGGAGCTTGTCAACAACAGTCAGTCAGTCAGTCAGTCAACAACCAGGTACAGCCGTGGTCAGTTCTGGGAAACCAAAGAGAAGACGCCGTGGTCCCTGAGCCCAAGGAGCTCACTGCCTAGTGCGAGGATATTCTAGGATAATGTGTCACACCACGGACTCGGGTGAACACAACGTGCCCGTCAGGAGGGCGGGACTCCTGAAGTGGACCTTACGAACATGAGCGGGGATTAGGCAGTGGAGAGGGCAGAGGAGGGTGGGTGAGGGTACTCCGGGCTGAAGAGGCGCAGGAGCAGAAGCACAGAACGTGAACCGGCAGGTAGGAACAAAGCCCTTTCCAGCCTTCACCGGCCCAAAGCTCTCTCCTGAGGCCCAGGCCGCCGTGGGCAGCTGGACACATCGCAGGGAGGGCTGCGCCTCCAGTCTGGCCTGTCCACGTTCCAGCCCTTACCCGGAGTAAAACGGCTCACTGCTGTTCCTGCCTCTCCTCCGCGTGACTACCTTGGCTATACCATCATTATTCTCCCATCGTTTAAGAAAGCAACAGCCCCCAATACTGTATGGCCCGTTGCAATTTACAAAATCCTTTTAGAATGTGAAGGCGCTTGTGGTCCAAAGAAAAAGAACCCAGAGTACTCACAGCCTCCACGCAATTTCCATTCTCTACTAAGTGTAGGATCTGGGGCCACTCACTTAACCTGTCTGGATCTCCTTCTGCTACCATAAAATGGGGACCACGATAGTATGCGCCCTACTAATTGATATGGTTTTGTAATCTATTGGAGTCTAATTAAGTGATTGTGTCAAAATGCTCTACAAGGAGAGATATAGGTTATATATGCCTAAAGATTATGAGCATAAAGATATAGGCTTTGTAAGGAGAGACGTTAGTTGTCACCGTTAGAATCATTATATTAATGATTAGCATTCATACGATTAATGCATTTTTGTAATTTTGCATGCAGGGCTGTGTTTAGATGACTAGGAATAGAAATCCGGCTCGACGAATCGAACAAATATAGATATTTATTGAGCACGCATCAAATGCCCAGCACTGCAAGGATTCAACAAGGTAAAAGACATATTCCTAGTCCTCGGAGAGTTGGGGAGACAATTACGTGCAAATAAAAAGTTCACTAATATAAAAGCTAGAGATCTGGGTGCAGAGAAAGCTCAATTCAAATCCCTTCTCCAATTAGAAGCTAAAGACCTTAGGTGTATCGCTAAATTTCACTAAGACTCATTTCTCTGTGAAATAGAGATCACAATAGTATCTACGTCATCGCAGGGATGCTGTGGAGACTAAACGAGATTAAGGAGCTAAAGCACATAGCACTGTGCTGTGCACAAAGTATTCATGAACTAGCAGCTGCAGACTGGCCGGGAGGATCCCAAGAGGGTGCACAAAGGGTGAGCAGGATCTCCCCAGGTGGTGGGGACCAGGCTGCGCTGCAAGGGAGGGGTGGTATGAGAAGGACCCAAGCTTCTCAGTGCAGGAAAGTGAGGAGATTGAAATTGGAACCCTTGCGCGCTGTTGGCAGAAATGCAAGATGGTGCAGCGCTACGGAAAACAGTATGGAGGTTCATCAAAAAAATTAAAAATAGAACTACCGTATGATCCAACAAAACCACTTCTGGGTACACATCCAGAAGAGTCAAAATCAGGATCTGGAAGAGATCTACGCTCCCCCATGTTGATTGCAGCAATATTCACATTACCCAAGATGTGGAAACAACCTAAGTGTCTGTCGAAGAATAGATGAAGAAAATGAGGTGTACGCATACAATGGAATATTCTTTGGCCCTTAAAAAGAAGGAAATTCTGCCATATGCAACAACGTGGATGAACCTGGGGGACATCATGCTAAGTGAAATAAGCCACATTTCACATACATGAAATATCTAAAATAGGCAAATTCATAGAATCAAAGAGCGGAATGGTGGTTGCCAGGGTTTGGTGGGGAAGGGGAAATGGGGAGCTGCTAATCAACAGTATAAAGTTTCAGTTAAGCAGCATGAATGTGTTCTAGAGATCTGCGGTACAATATCGTACCTAAAGTTAACAATACTATATTGTGCACTTAAAGTTTCGTTCAAAGGGTAGATCTCATGTTGAATGTTCTTACCACAATAAAATAATTTTTTTATAAAAAACAGAGAGATACTGACCCAGCTGCATTGGAGGTGAAGGATCATTCAAGGGAGCCCTGAATTGGAAAAATTCAACCCCCCAACTCCCACCAAGGCAGCCTGCTCCGGAAGCTGGAAGGATCCCACCTTCCCAAGGGATGTGGACCAATGTCCTGATTCAACACTGAGGGGTGGGATTTCCTCTTCCAATCTTTGCTGCTAAACCAGCATTTACAGCTGGACCACAATCTCGAGAAACGGGCTGAGATCAGGTGCACGGTGGAGGCTGCTCCGGGCACAGAGCCAGCGGCCCAGCCAGCATGCGAGACCCAGGCGGCACCAGGTACTCTCTGTGCAAGGCTGACTGCAGCTTCCTCGGCATGGATGCTTTCTCGGCTCACAGAATAGCTTTGGAACAGAAACTATTCATGGACGCTCCATTCGGACTTGCAGTCCTTGGCCTTCTGCAGTGGCAGGACCAGCAGGTCACTGGGTCAGCCATGGGGCCAGCAGCAGAGAGGAGAGCAAAGAGACAACCCCAGGAGAGTGTGGAGGCAGGGGGCTGGGAGGTGGCCCCACTGCTCTTGGGAATGGCCAGGGGACCTAGGAGCCATGGACAAGCTCTTTCCAGAGTTGTCAACTAACCATGAGCCTCTGATCTATACGGTACCCGAAGAAATGCCTGATTTTCTAATGTTAGGGCCCAAGACTTCCTTTTCCCACATTAGCTGCCACATGAAGGGCTGCATTTATTCCAAAAAAAAAATTTTTTTGAGACAGGGTCTCACTGTGTTGCCCAGGCTGGAGTACAGTGGCACCCTCATAGCTCACTGCAACCTCCAACTCCTGGGCTAAAGCAATCCTCCTGCCTCAGCCTCCCGAGTAGCTGGGACTACAAGCACATACCACCATACCCAGCTAATGTTTGTATTTTTGTACAGACAGGGTCTGGCTATGTTGCCCAGGCCGGTCTGGAACTCCTGGCCTTAAGTGATCCTCCTGCCTTGGTTTCCCAAAGTGCTAGGATTACAGGCATGAGCCACCACACCCGGCCTCATTCAAAATTTTTTATTAGATGAAATGACAGCATTTCATGGAAACAGGGGGCCCA